TAAAAAAACAAAAAAAAATCCTTATTATTCTGAAAAGAATATCTTTTTGTACCATACGTAAAATTATATTATACAATTTTCCTCTCACGAAAACTTAACGGTTTTTCGAGTTCATCGAACTGATGAACCTTTTGTAAATATATATAGTATATATATATATATATATATATATATATATATATATATATTATATGCATCATCACACAAGAATTTATTACATAACGTAGTTTAATTTTCTGATAATTGTTACATCATGAAAACCTATGAGTTGAAGGAAAAAAAAATTATGATTGAATCCTATTTTTTTGTGGTTGATTATTATAATATGGAGAAAAGTCATTAGTGAATCATCTTTTTGGTATATATCTTTCCTGGATTTATATATTAAATAATTATAATGTAACATGGGATTTATATTTTCTTTCCCTAAAGTTATCCTTCTTGTTTCATAACAAATTATTTTAAATTTACATGTAGAATATTATTATGCAAAAAATTTACATGCGTCATGGACAAGTTATTTGACGTGGGAAAAGTAGTAAAATTTTTTTTTTCGAATATATTATTTTGCTTTAACGTATAGTAGGGATTTGAATGAATATTATTTATCCTCTTAATTAAAGTGGAATACGCATTTTGTGTTTCTAATCTTATAAAATACAAAATTCTTTTCAAAATAAAATTTACATTTATATTATATTTATTTCTATTAACGATAATAATATTAACAAATTATAATAGAAATCATCATCTTAACCGAAGAGGAAAATTCAATTTCACTTTCTTCCTTGAGGATACGAAAAAAAAAACTATTTTTCTGTTTTTATTAAAGAAAATAATATTAACAAGACCCAGTCATTTCTTAAAATTGTGTTAGAAATTTATATTCTTAATCGAAGAGAAAAAAGGTTAAAATACTCCTTTTTCCATTATACTTATAAAAAGTAGTCTACTTTAAAGCATATTTTCATGTTTAGTGAATAACATTAATGTAAAATAGGTATTTCAATAAATATTATTTATCCTCTTAATTGAAGAGGAATAGCGCATTTTGTCTTTCTTTATTTAGAAAATACAAAATCCTTTTCAAAACAGAAATCATATTTATATTATATTTATTTCTATTAAAGAAAATAATGTTAAAAAATTTTAATAAGTTTTTTTTGTCCTCTTAATCGAAGAGGATTAACTAGAAATATTACGAAAATTTATGAGCGTCATAGACAATTATTTACTGTGGAAAAAGTAATACAACTTGTTTATGAATATTTTATTTTGCTGTAATGTAAAATAGGAATTTAAATAAATCTATCCTCCTCTTAATTAAAGAGGAATATGCATTTTGTATTTAATTTTATATAAAATAGAAAATTCTTTTCAAAATATAAATTATATTTCTATTATATTTATTTCTATTTACGAAAATAATGTTAACAAACTGTGATACGAGGTCATCCTCTTAATCGAAGAGGATTAACATGTAGAAATGTTATAAAAATATACGTACGTATTTGCCATGTTATTTGCTATAGGAAAAGTAAAAAAAAATTATTTTTTGTGAATATATTATTTTCATTTTAATGTATAATATAGGTATTTGAATAAAAATATTATTCATCCTCTTGATTGAAGAGTAATACGAATTTTGTCTTTCTTCCCTTACACAATATAAAATCATTTTCAGAACAAAAATTATATTTATATTTTACTTATTTCTGTTAACAAAAATAATGTTAAAAAATAGGAGGTTATTAATCATCCTCTCAATTGCAGAGGAAAATTCCGTTTCGCCTTCTTTGAGGATACGAAAAATATTCCTATTTTTCTGTTTCTATTAAAGAAAATAATATTAACAGTCAACCAAACAGTCATTTTTTTACATTGTGTTAGAAAATTATCTTCTAAAATCGAAGAGAAAAACGTTAAAGTCCTCCCTTTTTCATTCTTCTTATAAAAAGGAAACTAAAATCTACTTTAATGCATATTCTCATGTTTAGAAAATAACATGCTAAAGGCTGAAATTATCAATAAACGAATTTTTCCTCTCAATATAAGATTTTTTTTTATGAAATTACTTTCGTTAAAAAAAATTTTGCAATTAATTACAAACCATAATTTTTATTAATTAGGAAATAAAAGTATTACTATATGTTATGAATAAAAATATAAAAATAAATTTAAAAAAATTCTGAAAACATTAACTGATTTTTATCTTCGAATATATTATTCTCAAAATTAAACATAAAATTAATTATAAAAGTAGGGTCAAATTAGATGAAAGTGTTGATTAATAATTATTAGTTTATATATGTATATATATATAGATATATAGGAGTTCACTGTATATAATTAATATAGAAAGATAGTGTTCTAGTTTTCCAACAGTATTATTTACTGTTTGTTCCTTTAACATATGACAGCATCACTTTCGTTTTTATTAACGAGTTATATCTGTCATGACAAATCATTTATATCTATTTCCTAGATTTAAATGAATAAAATGAAATTCCCCCTTTTATATGAAGAAACTTTCGAAATTCATGACGATGCAGGAAGTTTCAATTTCAATATATGGAATTTCCAATCAGTGTGTTTTTATTTTTATTTTTTTTCTTTTTCTAAATCTTATATTAAGTTTATTATTATATTATCATTTATTCAAGATGTAAATTACTATATCTAACATTATAAATATATTTAAATGAATGTTAATTAACTTGAATGATAATATCAATTAGAAGTCAAATTTTGTTTGACATGTGAAAAATAAAATGTCTTTATTAGATTGAAATTTTTACTTTTTTTATGATAATAGAAAAAAATATTCTTAATTATAGGAGAAATTCTTCTATTTTTCTACAAATTTTTTAATACTGAAAATATTCACTCAATCTTCCTCTCGAATTGAGAAGATTTTATAATTAATTTTATTTTCCATATATAATTATATAATTATCATGTATCCTCTCAATAGAAGAGGAAATAACTTTTGTTACTGAATGATATATTAATTAAAAAATAAAAATTTTTTTATGTATAAAAAAAAGTCTCTTTACAAAATGGAATTTTTCCTGCCTTTATGTTAAGGTAAAGAATATTCTCAAAGTAAGAGGATTTACTTCTATTTCTCTACAAATTTTCTAATATTGTAAATATGTATTCATTCTTCTTTTCGATTTGCAATGATTTTTTTAATTAATCTTATTTTTAATATATATTTGAATAGTATCCTCTTAATCGAAGAGGATGTGTCTTTTGTTTATTAAATACAATACATAGTAACATTAATTATAATTAATATTTTTGTTTAATGTGTAAAAAATGTGTTTATTACATAGAATTTTTGCTATCTTTGTGTCAACAGAAAAAAATATTCTCAATATTAGAGTATTTCTTTTATTTTTCAACAATATTCTAATATTGTAAATATTCAATTAATTTCTTCTTAATTGAAAAGATTATTTAATTAAATTTATTTTTGTTATATATTTAAAAAAAAAATATTTTTATCCTCTTAATAGAAGAGGAAGTGCCTTTTGTTATTTTAGAATGAGAAAAATAGTTTTCTATGTTTACTAAAAAAAAGATTATATTAATAAAACTTATAATTATTTTCTTTAATTAGTAACAGGAATTTATCATTTATCTTCTTAATCAGAGAGGAAAAATACATTTCCTTTTCTTCTTTCACAATAGTAAAAATATTTATTTAAATTTTCTAGCAGTTAAAAAAAATAACTTGAAAAAAAGTTGATATTATTTTCTCTATTAAGTGATAGGTATTTGAATAAATATTATTAATCCTCTTAATCGAAGAGGAAAACTCTGGAGTGTTTCATTCTTCTTTTTCTCCTTTAGAAAATGAAAAGAAAATCTAAAGAATATTTTTATTTCAAGAGTATAATATTAGAGGTATTAATGTTCAATAAATGGATTTTCCTCTTAATATAAGATTATTACGCACGCTAAACTGATTGATTTTCCTTTTTTCCCTTAGAAAATAAAAAAAAATCTAAAAAATATTCTCATTTACAGAATATAATTCAAGAGGCAAAAATTACGAATAAATGCATTTTCCTCTTAATATAAGATTATTAAGCACACTAAAATGATTTATTTGACATTGGTTTCTTTACAAAAAAGAAAATATAAAGAATATTCTTGTTTTAAGAATATGATGTGAGAGGTAGAAATTATCAATAAATGGATTTTCCTCTTAATATAAGATTATTACGCACGCCAAAGTGATTCATTTTCCTTTTATTCCCTTAGAAAATAAAAAAAAAATCTAAAAAATATTCTCATTTTTAGAATATAATGCAATAGGTATAAATGATCAATAAATGGATTTTCCTCTTAATATAAGATTATTAAGCACACTAAAATTATTTATTTGACATTGGTTTCTTTACAAAAAAGAAAATATAAAGAATATTCTCGTTTTAAGAATATGATGTGGGAGGTAGAAATTATCAATAAATGGATTTTCCTCTTAATATAAGATTATTACGCACGCCAAAGTGATTCATTTTCCTTTTATTCCTTTAGAAAATAAAAAAAAATCTAAAAAATATTCTCATTTTTAGAATATAATGCAATAGGTATAAATGATCAATAAATGCATTTTCCTCTTAATATAAGATTATTAAGCACACTAAAATTATTTATTTGACATTGGTTTCTTTACAAAAAAGAAAATATAAAGAATATTCTCGTTTTAAGAATATGATGTGGGAGGTAGAAATTATCAATAAATGGATTTTCCTCTTAATATAAGATTATTACGCACGCCAAAGTGATTCATTTTCCTCTTAATATAAGATTATTTTTATATAATTAATTTCGTTCTTTTTAAAAATTTGCAATTTATTATAATTATTAATTAGGAATAGTACAATAATATTAATAAATAATAATAAATAATTAAAATAATAAAAATAATAATAATAATAATAATAATAATAAATAACAAAAAAAATATATAATTTTTTTTCTTTTAGAAATACTATGATGGTGATGAAGTCGTGCCACTCGTTTCTCATAGGAATTATCCTGATTCTACGAACAAATTGTCAAACAACAGAAGAAAATAAATTTTCAGCTGAAACAAAATTGTCAACAAATTTTCAAAATTCAGATGCATTTCTTGGCGCTGTATTGGCAGTTGAACAAGATTCATTGAGAAGGGAAATTAATCGAACAGATTCAAATTTAAATTTAATTCGTAAACGACGATTCGTGAGATTTCCCAGTGGTTCAGGATATGCATTTGAGGGGCAACAACATCCACGTTCAATTGGATTGGCAAATATGCGATTTGGACCACAGGCACAATTTTCAACATGGAGACAACAAAAATCATTTTGGCGACCACCTCCTGTTTCAGGAGGTCCACCTCCTATTGCTGAATTCACAAGGCCAGTCATGGGACATCGTACGCCAAGACTTATTTTTCGCGACAACGACTTTCCGGCCACGACCGGAAATGGAGTCAGCAGCAATTTCTTTCAATCCAATCAACTTCCTGAAATCGAGGAAGAAATTCGAGGTACGCACATTTTTTTATTTTTTTTTTTATTACATAAAAAGAATTCTATTCTATGGTTTTATATATATATATATATATATATATATATATGGTAAAAAAATATATAACTTCTACACTGGAAAAAAAAATTTATTTCATTCAAATAATCGGTTACTTGACTATTATCAAATAAATATTTATTTGTATTAAATAATCTGTTATTTGAGTCAATTAAATGGTATTTGTTTCAAATACAGAAATTATTGGTTCGAATACAGAAATGATTGGTTCGAATACAATTTAATTGATTCAAATAAAAATTATTTGGTTCAAGTAAATATTTATTTGATAATAGTCAAGTAACCGATTATTTGAATCAAATAATTTTTTTTTTTCAGTGATATTTAAAATAAATTTAATAAACTATTTTTATATTAAATAGATAATATAAATATTTATATTAATTAATTTATTAAAAATAAAATATTGTGTTGAATAAATTAAAAATTAAATTTTAATTGCTGTTAGTCAAAATGTTTTGTAATCTGAATTGCATAATTGGAAAGTATATAGAAGTAGTTTTGAAAAACAAAGTAAATTAATCAAATATTTAAATATAATAGATTAGTAAAATTGTATATTAATCGTAATAAAATTATTTGTGCTAATAAGTTTATTATTTAGTTTAATAAATTTTTGATAATTTAGAATTATATTATTTTTTTTAGATAAGCAAATATTTAATAACAAAAATTTTTTGCTTCAAAAAGTTCATTAATAATAAAACAAATATAGCTTTAACAAAATAAAAATTCTCAAAGTGAATTATTTATTTATTATTACTTTAATATTATTAACAGGATTAAACGAGTGTTTTTTTGCACTTTTAGCGTTAGAACACCTCAAAAAAAAAAATCTAATTAAATCCGAGCCCCAATTTTATTTCAGTCCGTGTGTTGAAAACCTTCGTTAAAATAAACTCTGGTTTTTGGTTGAAAAAATTTTTTGTGCGAATAATTATAAAATGATTACCATTAATAAAATAATTAGAATTTTGATTAACATACGCTGCTTATTCGCTTAATACTAATAATTAATTCTATTAACATCTTAATCCAGCTTCATAGTAATTTTCAATTATTTTTCTTAGAGTAAATTGAAACTATTTTGTTTTTTGTCTCAAGGAATCATTTACATAAATAATTAAATGATTTTCGCTAATTCAAAAACTGCACACACTGACTTATTATAATTATAGGATAAATGATACAGTAGTTGACCACTTAAAAATAGGCGTCTGTAATTTTTTTTTTTTTCAAAAATGGACAAATAATGGATTTTTTGATGGTTTTTTCAAAGTTCTCATCAGTCTTAGATTGAAAATTTGCTTATTTGTTTTTAAAATTTTCTGTCGCACTCACTCTCATACGTTGCCATAGTAACCTGCAGGCAGCCAAAAAGGTGTGAAAGTGCCTTAAGGCACGTTTTCAATGTGCGATATTTTTATTTGGCGCGAAAATTTGAATTAGTAGGTTTCTTATAATTTGTTTTTTTGTTTGCTTCTATAGTGATTGCTTTTAATTTTAAGAATAATAAAATAAAATGGCCGACTACTGGTGGGTGACAGTACTTATTCTCACTGGAAAATTAATTTATTATTAAGAAAATAAAGTTATTTCGCAATAATATAACTAAAATATAATATAATTACGTTCAATAATTTATTAATTATAATGAATTTAAAACTAAAAAAAAAATTAACTTCAAAAAATCCATTACTGTCTGCAATTGTCTGATAATCATTTAACAGAAAAAATTTAGTTCACCTACAAATTTTTTTTTTTGAATATTTGTGTGTGTGAGAAAAAAATCAGTGGACCCTCAATAATTGTCGATTGTTATCGAAGGTCGACTGACTACTGTTCTCTAGCTGAAGGCTATATCATTTAACAAGAGTTAACTGCAGTGAAAATGTTCACTAGAATGTATCAAAGAATTATTGTACTATTGTATGTTAATCTTTACAACCACAGTGATAACAATTCAATTTAATTAGGACGAATCTATTCACTTTCACTGAATAGAAAATATTATACTCTCTAAAAATCTCCGTTAATCAAAAACCACAATTTTATATATATATATATAGTGTAAAATTTATTAAAATTCAAGGGTCTATTAATAAAGTAAATTCTAGAATATAGAATAGAATTTCGGTTTTTATTTAATTTTTCAAATTAAAAAATCAAAAATAATTTATTTAATGATGAAAATATATTAAGGATCGTTTTCTCCTATTTTATTTTTAATGGTTTTTTTTTATAGCAAGTATTTAAATTAAAAAGTTATATAAAAAAAAAAATTAAGTTACTGATAGTGTGTGTTTAAAAAAGCGTTTTATATGAAAATTGGTTTTATGTATTTAAAAATGTCCGATTTCAGAATTTCCAGCAATATTTAGAAAGAAAGTTTCTCCTTTCGGAATAGTAATTTCTGAAGAGGTCTGATAAGCCATCCTCCATTAGACACGCCTGCCTTGTCTGGCCAAGTTCATCATTTTTTTTTTTTTTCACTTATATTAGACAATACGGCATTTGTTCCAGTAGAGTACAAAGATTTTTATCAGACACAATTTTTTCTTTATCTCTGATCCTCCATATTTTATGAATTCATATTTTGACATACATATTTTTTTTTTCATTAAAATTACTAATTTGATATGTATATTTGCTTGTGTTCAAATTGTATGGGGTTAAATATTTATATTTTTTTTTAAATATTTTTAATTGGCAAAAATTCAAATTTCGATATATTATTTAAAAAATTTTTTTCCAGATCACCGAAAGCAATTAATCAACGAATACCCGCGACTTGAGACCGGTATGTTTCCAAAATTTCAATATTTATTATTAAAATTGTATTTTCCAAATTTTTATTTAAAAAAAAAAAAAATTCATAAAAAATTGTGGGATAGTAATTGTATTAATTATTTTTTTATTATATTTGAATTCATTGAATATTTTCAATTAAAAGAGAGAGAAAGTTTCTTTAAACGAGCCTTTACATAGAGATAACGAAGAACAATTTTTTTAACATTGAAATAAATTTTTTCTTATGAAATCGCATAAATAAGCAATAATCATCTTTATTAAAATTAGAAAATTAATAATAACAGTTATAATAGTTGATAATAATTGAGGAAGTTATTAGAATAGAAGACTTCACTTTTTTTTTATTGTATGCGAGATAAATATTTTCTAATATAATAAATTTAATTATTTTTCATTTACAATTTTTTTAAAAAAAACTTTATTTTCTTTACTAATTTTTCGCAAAATTTCTACCAAAACAAAAATAAAGCGTTTATTTGTAAATTTTACTGTTAAGTATCGTATAATTTATTTGCAATATTCGAATAATTTTATAATTTTTTTTTTATTTTTTTTTTTTTGGTTTTTACTATTATTGAACGCGTACGGTGACATTTGGCAAATTTTGTGCAGAGCCGCGAATTCAAAAAAGACCCCTTTGGGAAGGTGACGATTCGTTGTGCACTGACGGACGGAGCTGTGAATTTTTTCTATTATGCTGGATGTCTTCCGGTTTCTTGGACGGAAGTTGTGGTGGATTAATGTACGCGTGTTGTCATCGAAACAAAGAATCAGCAAAGGCAAGTTCCGATTATAATCTCGCCGATGCTGCTAGAGAAGAGAATCTTCTTCTCTCGACGGATTCTTACTCTGAAGAGTCGCCAAATGACGATCGTAAGTTTCTTAAAAAAAACAAAAAAAAAAAAAACTAAACAAACAAAAACAAAAAAACAAACAAATAAATCAAAACAAAAATTTTTAAAAATAAACAATAGAAAAAAAACAACATAAAGTCGAAGAAAAAAAATTACTATCGCATGCTTTTGTTTGGTATTTCTTCTTAAAAATGCACCTTCGCACGTTGCTGCACATATTTTTTCTTATATAACACATTTATTTTATTAAAATAGAAAAAAAGAGAGTGTCAAAAAAACAGGATGAGGATCGAGCATTAATTTTCTACACAGAGACTTTTGTGGTCCATATCCATCACTTTTCGAAGTATAACGTCACCAATTTAAATGAAGCTTGATAGTATGATATTTATTAATACATAGGTCCAAACAACCATTTTTTAAAAACTAGACTTAAACTAGACTTAAACTAGGCTAAAACTAGGCTGAAAATAGCCTAGAACTAGGTTGGAACTAGATTATAACTAGGTAGGAACTAGGCTAGAACTTGGTTATAACTAGGCTTAAATGAGACTAGAACTAGGTAAAAACTAGGCTAGAACTAGGTTGGAACTTGGCTTAAAGTAGACTAAAACTAGGTTAAAACTAGGCTGAAACTGAGCTGAAACTAGACTAGAACTAGACTAGGACTAGACTAGGACTAGACTAGGACTAGACAAGGACTAGACTGGACTAGAACTAGGCCAGAACCAAACTAGAACTAAAGTAGAACTAGACTAGAATTATACTAGAACTATGCTAGAACTAGGCTAGAACTAGGCTAAAACTAAGCTAGAATTAGGTTGAAACTAGGCTAGAACTTGGTTAGAACTAGGCTTGAAGTAGACTAGAACTAGGTTAAAACTAGGCTGGAACTAGGCTGAAACTAGAATCCAACCAGGACTATACTAGGACTATACTAGGACTATACTAGGACTATACTAGGACTATACTAGGACTATACTAGGACTATACTAGGACTATACTAGGACTATACTAGGACTATACTAGGACTATACTAGGACTATACTAGGACTATACTAGAACTAAACTAGAACTAGACTAGAATTATACTAAAACTATGCTAGAACTAGGCTAAAGATAACCTAGAAATAGGTTGGAACTAGGCTACAACTTGGTTAGAACTAGGCTTAAAGTAGACTAGAACTAGGTTAAAACTAGGCTAGAACTCGGTTGGAACTAGGCTTAAAGTAGACTAGAACTAGGTTAAAACTAGGCTGGAACAGGGCTAGAACTAGACTAGAAGTAGACTAGGACTAGACTACTTCTAGACTAGGACTGGACTAGGACTAGACTAGGACTAGACTAGGACTAGACTAGGTCTAGACTAGGTCTAGACTAGGTCTAGACTAGGTCTAGACTAGGTCTAGACTAGGTCTAGACTAGAACTAGGCTAGAACTAGGCTAGAACTAGGCTGGAACTGGACTAGTACTAGGACTATACTATGACTAGACTAGAACTAAAGTAAAACTATGTTAGAACTAGGCTTAAACTAGGCTTAAACTAGACTAGAACTGGCTTAGAACTAAGCTAAAACTGGACTAGAAGTAGGCTGGAACTAGGCTAGAACTAGGTTAAAACTAGACTAGAACTAGACTAGCCTTCTTTAAAACTTGTTGCTTCTAGTTTATATGTTGACACTATAACTTTTGTATTCTGAATACTTTAGATCCGAAATTTGTCAGCTCAGTTTCTTATTTTTCATCCTAATTCCTTGTTGGTTTCTGCGAGCACATTCTTTTCTCTCGGCAATTGGTTTATTATCTGAATAATAGAATAACTAGATTAAGCACGAAAAAAAAATTTACAACAACGAAAGGCTTCACTAGAATAGTGAAAGATTTAACTCAAAACAATTATACCTTTGGCTGTTCTAGTGAAACTTTTTGTTGTTCCAGGTAAATTATTTTTTGCTAGAGTCCATAAATAATAATATCTAGATAAAATTCGGTAAATATTATCTAAATAAGATTAAATAAGATTTTTTAACAAGAAATATAATAATTTGAGTTTTATTTCATTTGTAAAATTTTTTATTATTGTTATTATTATTATTATTTTTTTTTTTTGTTAATGATTACACCATTTAATGTGCGATTCTTTTTTCAGATCTATATTCAATGTAATAGATTTTTGTCTGGTATTTTTCATGTAATTTTGGTGTATTAAAGAATTATATCGTTAAAATCGATTTCACTCTTGTGCTCGTTTTAATCATTGCACTTTCTAAAAATAACTCGCAACTCTTTTACACCCGCACAGCAGCTTCGTTTTATTTTATTTATTTATTATTTTTTGTTTTTATTTATCTAAACAGAATTATAAGTATCGATGAGAGAACAAAAGAAAAAAAAGGAAAAGGAAAATTGGTTCAAGTGTTATGCCTGTAATAATTTATATTGATAAAAATTGGTTTTAAAATTATTTTTTTTCTTGTCATTTTCTTTCACTTCAATTACTATTTTAGGAATAAAATATAAAATCGCTTGATTACCTATGCGTATCCTTTTTGGTTATATTTCGAATACAAAGTAACATTTCGCAGTCATTGATTCGATTAATTGGTAATTGACTGAAAGTTACGTGCCCCCCCCCCTTCCTTCCACCCACTCTCTTTTGCCCTCTCAATATAATAATTGCATGCGACGTTGCTCTATTGTTATTCAATTAGGACAAAGTTTTTAAATATAATATCGCATACAAAGTACAAAGTCTTTTGTAAAGTTTCTTCATATAATTCTTTCTTTTAAGGCTCTCGTGTATATATATATATACATATATATATATATATATATATATATTTACAAAGTGTTATTTTCTTATTTTTTAGTTATTAAAATCATATATCATTCAGAGAAAAAGTTAATTTGACTTAATCAAACAGTTTAAGTTTTCTATTTTGTTTGAAATAATTGAAAAGTTTAGTTAATTCAAATAAAAATTTGGTTCGTTTCAATAAATTCATATAATTTATTTAGTTAAGGGAAACAAAATTTTGATTTAAAGGTCGCAGATATAGTACATAACCTTGCAGCAACCTTGCGGCAAGCTTGCCGCGCAATATTGCCAACCTGCACGGCAAACTTGCCGCAAGCTTGAAATGTCTCATCTGACTGAAAGCTTGCATTAATTAAAATTAAATTAAATTATTCGTTGATTTAAGGAAACGTTTCACGTTTGTCAGGCGCACAGTGCATTGTCACCTTGTTCTCTGTAAAATAAACAGTCATTATTTGTAATAATCGTCATTTTTCATAATTTATGTTGAAATCTCATTATCGCATGTATAGTTTTACACATTATGTATGGTTCCTTTTATTATTATTATTATTATTTTTATTATTATTATTATTTTTATTATTACTATTATTATTATTATATTTATTAACATTCATTAATACTTTATTTTTCGCTTAAATTGTTAAAAAAGGATGGTTTAATTTTACATAAATTATTATTAGTGTTTTTTTCTGTAATTTAACTTTTATAAACTTATGTTGAATGTAAATAGGAAGATTATTAATTTAATATTTAATTGTATATTAAGGATTTGGTAAGCAAATATTGTAAATAATATTAATTTTTAAATAAAAATTTTGATACTTTGTTTAATATTTTCTATTAAAAAATTTATTATAGGTATAACAATATAATAATTTATTGTAGGTATTATAGGGATTACAATTTAAAAAAAAATATTTATTTTAAATATAAAATTACTTTGCCTTTAACTGATGTTTTAAAATTTTCCCTTACCCTTTTTCGATTTTTTGTATTCTTCTATACTCTTTAGAAATTTTTGTAACAGTAGTTCTAGTAAAGCGAACGTATTCTAATTATATTAGAGAAAATTATATCTTTTTAATTCATTCTTTTTTTTTTAAATTTGCGTTAAAAATTATTTCATGTAAATTAAGAAAAAATGAGTCTCAATTAAAAATTTGAAAGAATAGCGAAAGAATAGTTAATAAATTTTTTTCAATTTTTGCAAATATGAAAAAAAACAAATTTTCTAATTTCTAATAAATAAATAATTCACCATTCTTTTTTTATGTAAGATTTAACGATGTTTCAGGCTGTGGAATATCGGCCACAAAACAAACCGCTCAAAGAAGAATTGTTGGTGGTGACGAAGCTGGTTTCGGAAGTTTTCCCTGGCAGGTATTGAATAATATAGAAAAAAAAAACTGCAAAATTATTGTTAATTTCATTTTAATTGGCAAATATTTAATTTTTTTTTAATTTTCCTAAAAGGATTTTATTTCTAATCTCTTTTTTTTATATCAAAAATATATTAATTAATTTAAAAATTAAATTGCAAAATATTCTTTTTTTTTAAATATGTTTTTATAATAATTATATTGAAATAAAATAATGAATTTTTATTATAATTAATTATAATAATTATATGTTCAGACATACATATAATTTCAGTCACAATAATCAATATCACATTATAATTAAAAGTAAATTAACTCTCAAATTATATCTTTTAAAAAATTGTTTTCAGGCATATATTAGAATTGGATCCAGTAGATGTGGAGGAACATTGGTGAACCGCTTTCACGTCGTTACTGCGGGTCACTGTGTCGCTAAGTGAGTGTTATAAGAACGTATTAATTAAAAAAAAAAAAAAATTATTAAAGAAAATAATACCTGTTATTATTTTTTTTCTTCTATTTTATCAATATTTATAATTGAGCTGCCGGATCAAAGAATACATTTGATAATTATACGTTACACTCAGAAAAAAATTTGTTTGAACCAACCAAATTTTGGTTTAATCAAACCAAATAAATGCATTGTTGTACAGTTAGCAAAATTTTCGTTTGAATCAACTTTTGTTTGGTTCAATAAAATTATTTTCTTTGTTCAAAAAAATTTATTAAAATAAATATAAAGCCAGGAGAATTTATTCTCATTTTGAAAATAAGAATAGCGAAATGATTTTTGATTTAATATTTTATTCTCTGATATTGAGAGATTATTTTTTTTTGATAATAATATAGTTGCCTATTAAATTCAGAGGAATTCGCTGAAACGAAGATTAGTTTTTCCTTTATGGGATTTTAAGAGTTGACAATATTAATGATATATATAATGATATACTACAAATTCAAATTTAACTCAAGTGCTAATTAATTAAAAAAAATTAAATTATAATAAAAAAAATAAATTGAATAGAATAAATGATAATTAGGAAATAATTATGATTAATAAAAATTGAATAATAAAATATTTATAAAAACTTGACATTTTTTCTTACCAAATTTACATTTATTTGGTTTAACAAATATAAACTTGTTAAGAATATATTTATTAAAATTTTTTTATATAATTATTTTTCTTACTTTTTATTTTTTTTAATTATTTTAGGTAGGGAAATTTTTTTTTTTTTTGTTATTTTCTTATATTTTTTAGGGCATCAGCAAGACAAGTACAGGTTACACTTGGAGATTATGTAGTTAATTCTGCATCAGAATCTCTTCCGGCTTACACTTTTGGAGTGAGAGAAATTCGAGTGCATCCTTATTTTAAATTTACTCCTCAAGCTGATAGGTGACTAATAATAAATTTTAAAAATAATAAAAAAATATTAATAATAAAATAAAAATAATTAAAAATAAATAAAATTCTTATTTTCCAGTCAGTGATACCAACATAATTTTGAAGAGTGAGGTTATGTTTATCATGTTAGTTCACCTATCATGTTGGTATCATTGACTGGAAAATGAGAAACGTCGCGCGCAAACAAAACAGTTGATTAAAATAATTCAAAAGAACAAAAAAACGAAAAACAATTTCTAAAATTTTGAGCAAGTTAACACGAATTTTGTTTTTTGTATAAAAGCTGAAAAAATAAGGAAAATTTTGGATGAATATTTTAATTACATAATTGCACAATTGCAAATCAACAATATTCATTTTTATTGTTACTGTTCAGGAATAATATTTAATTTATTTAATAATTCAAAAAACAAAAACTTTTAAACATTTTTGATAATAGTTTTTAAAAATGCATTTCTTTTTTTATTATTTATGTTAGAAAAATTTTGTTTTTATTAAATTATAATGTATTATTTTTTATGCATATTTTTCTTTCTTATATTTAGGTTTGATGTTGCTGTACTGAGATTAGATCGACCAGTTCATTACATGCCTCATATAGCACCAATTTGTTTACCGGAAAAAAATGAAGACTTCTTAGGACAATACGGGTGGGCTGCAGGTTGGGGAGCACTTCAAGCGGGTAATTACTCATATATTTATATAATAATTTCAAATTATCTATCAAAAGTTCAGTGAAACGACGAGTATATGTATCTCAATACTAGATTATTTTTATTATTATTATTATTATCATTATTATTATTATTATTATTATTATTTTAATGTGAAAATAAATAAATATTAAATAAGTACTACCAGGGCAAAAAAACTAAATTTTTCACGGAATAAAATCTTTATCTAGAACAATGATATGTTTCTCTAGAATAACGAAAACTTTCGCTGTTTTAGTAAATATATCACTGTTCCATGTGAAAATTTTTTTCCATGTTTCATTTTATATATTCATTTAATATACAAATTAAAAAAAAAAAGTTTCAAATTTCCTCCCGATGGTTTGGGGTAAGTTTGGGACAATGTTTCACGGTCTTAATTATATAAAATCTTTTTACTATTCAGTAAAAAAAAAAAAACATCTGATACAAAAAAAGTATTATTAATAGAGAATTTTCATAATGATAAACAATAGAATTTAGAAACATTTTATTTCTCTAATGAAGAGAAAACAAAAAATTATTATCAAAAGAAAAAAAAGGTCCCATATTAAGGAATTTAGAAAATCAACGTTCAACTTTTACATTTTTTTTTATTGATTGGCATTGCTGACAAAAAAAAAACATTGTACAAAAATTTTTAACGACTATATATATATATATATATTTTCAGCATATAATGACTATTTTGGAACTTTCTTTCAGGTTCGAGATTAAGGCCAAAAACGCTTCAAGCTGTAGATGTACCAGTTATTGACAATAGAGTTTGTGAAAGGTGGCATCGTTCTAATGGCATTAATGTTGTCATTTATGATGAAATGATGTGCGCTGGTTATCGTGGTGGTGGCAAAGATTCTTGTCAGGTAAAAATGAATGAAAAAAAAAAAAAAAAATTCTTAAAATTAACAACTGACATAAATTATTCATACTTTTCTTTTTTCTCTTCTATATAATATATTTATTAATATATTTCATACCTTTTTTTTCATTCAAAGAAATATAAACAAAACTTGTTTCACAAAAGAATGTCTTTTAATCTTTTTTCATCTACTCTTTCATATTCTAATTTTTCTTTTAATTTTGATATAATGATAAAGAAATATAATAATCATATTTTTATATAGCTGGAAATATTACTGGTAATATTTTTCTTTATTGCTTTCGAAAAAAAAATTAATTTTCATTTCACTGTTTTAATATTAATTGATTTATTATTTCAATTCCCAAGAAGCACGTAATATATCCTCAATATCAAGGTAATATTACACGTGAGATTCGTAATATAACGCTGTAATATTACAGTAATCTTACAGTGATCTTAAAATGTCCGCCTCAAGGTAATATTACCGGGAATATTACTGTAATATTAGAGTAATATTACAGACTGATTTGAGTTATTCATAAAGCATAAAAAACGTAAATATATTACAAGTCAATTTGGCTTGTTGGTAAAACTCTGGACTCGTGTGCTTTGAGTTCAGGGTTCGATTCCCTGGATGGGTAGATTTTTTTCGTAAAGAAATGTTCCCATAATATTACTGTAATATTCTCTTGTAATATTACCTTAATATTACGGTATAATATTACTGCAATATTACTGTAATATTACCTTAATATTAGCGCGTAATATTACAGTAACATTACCGGTAATATTACCTTGAGGCGGACATTTTAAGATTACTGTAATATTACAACGTTATATTACGAATCTTACATGTAATATTACCTTGATATTGAGGTTATATTACGTGCTTCTTGGGTTGATTAATAATTAGGGGAATATATTCAGGGTTTGACACCGTTTTGGACTTTATTTATAATCTTTTTTTAAAAAAATTTAATTAAGTTATATTGTTACAAACATGTACAAAAGAGGTACACTTTTGCTGAAGATCGTAAATTGATTGGTATAAAATTAAAAAAGTTGTGATCATTTAAAAAAAAATCTAGTCAAGGTTGGACACTTTGTGAAAATCGAAGCGAATTATGGGTAAAAAAAAATAAAATAGCATTTATAACGTTACTGCAAACGTTTTTTAAGTTTATTTTTTCATTTTTACATTATTATTACCCAAGCAGCACGGTATATTCCCTGAATATCCGTTGAATACCACTGTGGAATATTCTCATGATCTTCTAGGAAAATCAAAATGTCCGCATCATGGGAATATTCCATAGTGACATTCAGGGTATATTCCAGTGACATTGAGGGAATATTCCTCGGTGACATTCATGGAATATTCCAGTGACATTAACGGGATATTCAGGTGATATTGTGGAAATATTCCAGTGATATTGAGGGAATATTCCACGGTTGCATTGATTTTTTTTTTAAATGTGTTTTTAATCTTCCTGCTTATTCAAATAACAATTTATAACACATTTCTATTATTTCAACACTTGAAAAAAAATTCAATATAACCGTGGAATATTCCCTCAATATCACTGGAATATTCCTTTAACATTACACTCAATGTCACTGGAATATACCCTGAATTTCACTGTGAAATATTCCCATGATGCGGACATTTTTATTTTCCTGGAAGATCATGGGAATATTCCACGGTGGTATTCAAGGGATATACCGTGCTGCTTGGGTATTAATAATAATAAAATACAAGGCATTTTTTTGTCTGTTCAAGTTCCTGTGCAAATATTAAGTGCTTTAAAATTTTCTCCATAGTCATTCTAGATGTATTTTCAGTCGCTGATGAAGGATTTGGGGTCAAAATTGACGATTTGTCAGTTTAAATCTGTCAAAATTGCAAAAAACGATAAAAATTGTCATTTTTTTGTCTGTTCGCAGTGTAGAGCGCAAATAAATAGTTCAATTAATGTCGGTAATTTAAATTAAAAGTTGTCAAAATTGCAAAGAACGATAAAAATTGCCATTTTTTTCTATTTTAAATTTTATCATTATTTTGAATTATAAAATTACATTATCATAATGATTTAAAAATTTTTATATAAGAAAGTTGACCAATGGGATGTTGGTAGCGCGCATTTGTTGCTAGTTATTTATAATTGACAATTAATATTATTTATAACGTTACTGAAAACGTATTTAAGGTTCACTTTTTTTATTTTTAACGTTATTCTTATTTTTCTAATATCTTTGGCAGAAAATGTGCTGTGTGTGCGTCAATGTTTATTTATATATATTTATTTATAAATTGTGTCAAATTCATAATTAACAAAGTGTCCAACCCTGAGTGTATAAAGTGTCCCACCCTAAGTAGAAGTAACATTTTCGAATTGTGCTAACCATAACCAGACATGTTTCGCGATTCGATTTTTCACTTCATTTTTTCTTCAATCATGAACCCCACAATACGTGCAATAAACTTATCTTGCCAAATTTCTTGTTTTCTTTATTCATTTTTTATGTTTAATCACATCGCTTACAAAACTTTTTTCGTTCATACAAATGCACCGACGTCATAGCAGACGCTACTTTTGATCCTCCAAAAATGTAATGCCACAAAAAGTTAGGCTTCACTACGAGAAGCTTCGCCACGTCCGTGCATAGATGGCGCTAGTATTCTTATTTTAAGAAAAGCCAAGTGTCCAACCCTGAGTATATTCCCCCACTTAATTAGTATAATACGTTAATTATTATTAATATAAATAAGTAATTAGTTATTAATTAATATAATAAATAAATTATTATTAATAAATAATTAATTATTACTGTAATAATATTTTGATATAATAATTATGATATTTGTATTTATTAGATATTCTAAAAAATGGGGTAAGCTATTTTATAATTGTCAATTATGAAATAGAAAATAATTTATCATTTACAATTGTTGAAATTTGAAAATAATTTTTAGGGCGATAGCGGAGGTCCATTAATGCTTGAAAAAACAGGAAGATGGTACCTAATTGGAATTGTATCAGCCGGATATTCTTGCGCTCAGCCAGGACAGCCAGGAATTTATCATAGAGTAGCAAAAACCGTTGATTGGATAACTTATGTCATAAATTCATAAAATTTTAATTATTATTATTATATATTTTAAAAAAATAGCAGTGATTTTAATTAAAATGAAACTAGGACTTTTCATTTTTATATTATAGAATGGATTTCCATTCCGAAGACTGCCAATTATTATTATTTTTTTTTTTTGAGAAATGGACTTTTAAAAAAAATAGAAATAACATACAAAAAAGAGTTCAATAAACACTTGACAATAAAACGGCTATAAAATTAACAAAAAAGAAAAAAAAATCTTAAATTCCATTTCTTAATATTTAAATGTAGTCGTTAAATTATTTATATATATATTTGAAAAGAAGCAAAAAAACAATTTTCCAAAGACCTAAAAATATGAGACATAACAGTTTATTGTTTCATAGTTTTCTAACATTTTTTTTTTCATTCTAAAGCCTCATTTTCGTTATATTTTACTAAAAAAAAAAATATTTAAATAATAAAATTATGTAAATAAATGTTTTTTTATTTTTAAATCCAAATGGATTTATGAGTGATTCTCTTAAAGGAAACTTAAGTATTATTAAGTAGTGGAAAAAAGGTTTAAAAATCAAAGAAGGTATTATGTAATAATAATTTAAAACATCTAAAAGTGCTTTTTATTTATAAAATATATTTTTTTTAATTGAAAACATATAATTTTTGCAATTAAAAAGAAAAGAAATTTTAATTAATAAATTATTTTTTAAAAAATTCTTTTCTTTAATTTAAAAAATAATTTCAAAAAAAAAAAATCTAAAAAAGGGTTTAAAGAAACGATTGTATATGTATGTGTATTTATATAAGTTAATATAATTTATAAACAATAATAATTTTCGATGGACGAAAACGTGAAATATATTTTTTATAAAAGGGGATAGAATAGACGATGTCAAATAAATTATATACATAAAATGATAATAATTATTATTATTATTATAAAAATACAATGACTTGTCAGTTTTGTGATGTAAAATTAAAAAAAAAAAATACTTAATGCCTTTGTAAATGTATAAAATTTAGAATGTGAATGAGAGAATGATTTTTATTATACACCTGTATATGTATAAATTTTGTATACACCGACATATATTTTAACATCGCTTTTGTAAAAAGAGAAAAAACAAAATGTTCCCACAAAGAATCAACAAATGTTATTTTTAATTTACTGTAATTATTATACATATATTATATATATATTTTTACAATATTGTGTGAATATATACTTGTTTTTTTTTTGTAATATTTTTCATCATAAAAAATTATTTTCTAATAATTTTTTAGTTACTATACATATTATATATATATATATATATAGTGTTATGTAATATTTTTAGAAAAAAATTATTATAAATAAAACTGAAGGAATGTTAAAAAATGAAATTTTTAAAAATTTTTGTACTAAATATTTTTTTACTTACAAATGAATCTAAAGAAAAGTTCTTTATCGACCTCAGATAGAAGGTATATCTTTTTTTTCTTTAAAAGTTGGAAGATAAGGTAGAAAGTATTTAAAAGTTTATTCTATGGTAAATTATTTCCTATTTTTTTGGAAGAAATTGAAAAAAAAGTTTCTAGAAAATTAAAAATTAATGACAGTTTGAAAATATAAATTTTAAAAATGATTTAAATTTGTACTAAATGTAAAATTATAGAATTAGTAAAAAATTTTAACTAATTTGAATTAGTGACTTATTTTTTGCTTTTGAATTAGTTAAATTTTACTAATTATGGATTAGAAAAATTTAACTAATTAATATTAAAAAAAAATGTTTACAATCGAATAAGTAATTAATAATTACTAATTAATATTAATAAAAAACTATCGAATTAGTAAAATTTAACTATAATTCAAAATCAAGAAGAGAGTCATTTAGAAATATTTATATTTTAAGTATATAATTTTGTTGGAGGAAAAAAAATCTTTATCTGGAACAGCAATATATTTCAATATATACAAAACTTTTTTTTTTACTTTTTTTTTAAATTTGCAATTAGTAATTAATTTTTCAGTCAGAAATAAAATAATAAATTATATTTTGTCTTAGAGCGTAATAACTTTTTATTTGTTTTAAATTAAAATTTTTATTTTATACAAATAACATTTTATTTAAAGCAAATAAAATTTTTATTTAACAAAAATAAAATTTATTTGAAAAAAATAAATATTTATTTCGCTCTGAGACAAATAATAGGACTTTTTTCTGAGTGTATTTTAGTAGGAAATGATAGTTTGTAGTCAGACAGGACTGGTAGGAAAATTCGAATGAATTCTATTAGTAGTAAAATCGTGTTACAGTCAGACACTGAATTCTTATTTTTTCAGTGGTAAAAGTCAATTTGTAGTCAGACACTGAAGATTTTTGTTAGTGAAGTTTCAGTAGTAAAATTCCGTAACAATCAGACATTAAAATTTATTCTAATTTTACAATAAAAATAATATTTTTCGTTTATAAGAGGATTAATGACTGGTGTTCTGATTTAGATTAAAAGCAAATTAATTATAATAGTGAAAAAAGTAAATTTTTAAGAATAACTAAATAGTAAATAAATAAATAAATAAATAATATCCTAGACGTCATTAAAATATATTAAATATTTATCTGATATAAAGAAATATTTATTTAATTCCAAGAAATATTTATAAGATTCAAAAAATATTTATTTGATTAAAAGAAATATTTATTAGATTCAAAGAAATATTTTTTTTAATCAAAGAAATATTTATTATATTCGAAGAAATATTTATTAGATCTAAATAAATATTTGGATTAATTTTAGTGAATTTTTGAGAACAAAAAAATAATTTGATTCAACCAAATAAACTTTTTGTTGATTCAACCAAAAAAATTTGGCTCATTGTATAGAAATACATTTATTTGATTGATTCAACTAAAATTTGGTTGTATCAAAAACAAATATTGTTTTCTAAATATAAGAATACACATATGTGACGCTTCACGAGAAAAGGAAAAAAAATGTAGGTTATGTTTGTGATTTTTGAAGTGAAAATTCCCCAAAAGAATCAACTTTTAATTTTAAATTAAATTTTTTTGAAACATGTATGTTTAAGTCGTTGAAAAAATTTGAAAAATTTAATAAAAACTATTTTTCCTTTTTCCTAATAAGAAACTTTTTAAGAGCATTTGAACCTTCGTGACGTCACAAATCATGGCGCATGACACGCAAACTTCTCAGGTATGTGAAAAGCACAATTTTGAATATTTTTTAAAAAAACCTTTTGGAAAATGTTCAGAATAACATAGACTCTGTCTGTTATGTGCGGAAAATTCAAAATTTTGCGTTTAAAACGTTTTTTAAACAATGTTAAGGTCACAAATCATGGCGCATGACACGCAAACTTCTCAGGTATGTGAAAAACACAATTTTGAATATTTTTTAAAAAAACCTTTTGGAAAATGTTCAGAGAAACATAGACTATGTCTGTTATGTGCGAAAAATTCAAAATTTTGCGATTAAAACGTTTTTTAAACAATGCCTACATATAAGCAATTCGTGTATTTTCCCTTACTTGTGACAACCAACTTAAACATTGTTTAAAAAACGTTTTAAACGCAAAATTTTGAATTTTTCGCACATAACAGACATAGTCTATGTTTCTCTGAACATTTTCCAAAAGGTTTTTTTAAAAAATATTCAAAATTGTGTTTTTCACATACCTGAGAAGTTTGCGTGTCATGCGCCATGATTTGTGACCTTAACATTGTTTAAAAAACGTTTTAAACGCAAAATTTTGAATTTTCCGCACATAACAGACAGAGTCTATGTTATTCTGAACATTTTCCAAAAGGTTTTTTTAAAAAATATTCAAAATTGTGCTTTTCACATACCTGAGAAGTTTGCGTGTCATGCGCCATGATTTGTGACGTCACGAAGGTTCAAATGCTCTTAACAAAGTTAAACTATCTCAAAACATAACCTAAAATTTTTTTTAACATAAGTCCCCTTTTCTCGCGGTGCCTTATACATATATATTTTGATGTTAAAAATATTTGTTTATAATATAAAACAAAATTGCAAAGTAAAAATTTACTAAAGTAAAATAAAATAATTAAAAAATTAAAAAAAATGTTTATTTTGTTTATTCAGAGTAAAAACGTAACTTGAATAGTATTTATAATATTTTATTGTTAAAAAATTTCTTTTCAAGCTTGGTAAGAACAATACAATAGCCTAATACATAATTATTTAAATTGAAAATCGTTCAATATGTAATAAAAGCCAGAAATTGGAATACAGGTTTAAAAGTTGTTGTTGTTGTTGTTTTGTTGTTTTTGTTGCATTCATACCGCAAAAATTTGATAACATGAATTGTTTATTTATTTATTTTTTTGTAATTTGATGGAGGAAAGTATATATAATATATACCTTCGAGTATGTATGTGTATGTGTTTGTTTTTTTATACAGTTTTAATAAATCTCGAATATATAATATATGATAAGGTTTTGGTAAATGATGATCGAACGGTTGTATTTTCCAGAGTGTTTTTATTTTCGAATTCGCTTCTGTTTTTCTTTTTTTTTTTTTTTAAATATAATATCCTGCAATGGGGACAATGAATCCACAAATATATAACCAATAGTAGAGTAAAGTGTAGATATTATAATAAGATAAAATCGACAAAAGAATGGCGAATGTCGAGGCTTTATAACGGTCGACTTTTTTTTTTGGCGGTTAATGATCCTCGTTCGTGTCGTTTCATCGATCAAAAGGAAAAATTTATAGGAAATGCAGTAATTGGCAGAAAATCGATATCGACTCGTTCTCGAGGAGAACACGTACGACTTGAGAGGAACATGAGTTTTTCATTCATTTTTTTCTTTCTCTCTCTCTCTCTCTCTTTTTCTCTCTTTCATTCTTTCGCTCTTCATTCGACTTTCACTCTTTCTTTCGCTCACAAAAAATGAAGACAAAACGGAAGTGCGCATGCGTTTTTTGACTAGTAGAAGTAATCCCATTGGTCAAAATAGCTTTTGACCAATCAGATTGCATTATTTTAAGCATGCGCAGTTTTCCGCTAGTCGTTCCTTTCTATAATTCTCGCTCTCTTATCTTTTTAATCTCTTTCTTTCGTACGTTGCTCGCCCTGAAACTCGAAGAATTTTTCTATTTTCTTCATTTTCTCTTCATTCCCTTTTCAATCTCCAAAATCATTTTTTTTTTTAAATACTGATGATATTGAGTCAGTTTACATCGAGTAAACTCATGTGAGGTAAATAATTGTAAGGAATTTTTTTTTTCTATTCTGATACATACACACAGAAAAAAGATTTCTTTGATTCAAAGAAATGAATTTCTTTGATAAATTTTCCTTTGATACAAAGAAAATTTATTTGTTTCAAACAAATTATCTTTGATTAAAAAAAAAAATAAAAAATATCTTCGT